ATATATATATATATATATATATATATGATGTAAAGCTTTGTATATTGCCTGAAGTGAATGTGAAAGAAATGCACTACTTAATGTTGTGTGTTTGTTCAGATATTTGACTCTAGTTCTGCTTCTCTAAGCAAACACCACTAATTAAGATGAAAGTGACTTTCAGTAATTCACTAAGGATAGTTGCAGACTCAGTGATTTGTGCTCCGCGTCACTCCGCTGATAATGTTATTGTCCTTCATCAGTTAGTCTTGATTGTCCAGCTCTCGTTTAGGACGCGGTGATTGACGGCTCTGAGAGATGCAGGAGTGTGTTACAGAGCCACGTTTCGCTTCAGATGCACTCCAGAAAGACATGAGTTCATACTGCATTTGTCAGCATCATCTTCATCACTGCTGGACCACATCGAGAATGAACATATCTCTGTCCTTAGGGATGCAACTAAAGGTGACAACGAATTTCAATTAGTGCTTGATTAGTGGTTTGTTCTCCAGACAGCTAGATTTGTTTTATTGTCTTGAGACAGAATCATCCTTCAGACAAGTATACAAACAGACTATTGGCCACTGCATTGCAAACACACAATTCTGTTGTACAATACATACTTAACATGCATTATATGGTATAAAAACAGCAAGTGTGTGTATTTCACAGTTGCACAGATGCAGCTGGCCAATGGACAGCAAACAAGATTCTCTTCATGACAGTATTTGAAGAGAGAAAACTGTAGATAGAAGCAATTAACATTCATTGCATTGTTAATTACAGTCTGTATTGCATGCATTGTTGCATTCATCTGAAATGCATGTGCAGTGCATCGATTGCATGCATGTTTGCATTCACGTATATAGAATGTGCATTTTCATGTGGTGCAGTAAAACAAAATCAGCAGCCCATAAAATGAAAAAAAAAAAAAACCTTTGTTTGTCCAGATGTTGTAGTCATGCATCTGTTGCAATTCGTTAAGATCAGCAAACACAACAAGGGCTTAACAGGCTTTTATTTACAGTTCAGTGTTGATTCAGTTCAATATCTGTAGTTCCTCAACTGTAAAACATGTTCAGGTCAGTGATAAGCAGGAATAGCTGTGCCATTAAACCAGATGTGTTGGTATCAGGGTTAATATATAGTTCAGTCATGAAACTCTAGATGGCGCAGGCTGACGGTTTGTTAACGTAACTGATGATATTCAGAGAGTTAAACGACTTGGCACAAGCTGATTGGTTCATGCTGCATATGCAGCCAATGAGCTTACTGCCTTGCATTTATATGGCTGGCTAGCGTTCACTTGAGATTCCTGCAGCGTGCTTTCAGAGTTCTCTGAAATCCTCCACCTTCCCCAGCTCCACCTGTATTGATCTACTGCGGGGGTTATTTTATATGCTATTTGTGCAGCAGCAGTATGTCTTAAATACTCACGGCACCATATCACCATATGCATTGGCAGTAGCATTGGCAGCAGCAGCAATAATCTACAACTACAGCAATAACCAACAGCAGCAGCAATTCAGCAGCAGCGTAGCAGATCTGTTCCGCCAAGACCAAATACACTAACATTGTCATATCCATCACCATGCTAAAATCTTCAGAGAGTTGTCATGATTGAATTATAGTTAACTAAAACTGAAACCATAAAAGAACTTGAAATAAAATATATTTTAACAAAAATAAAATGTTTGAAAAAATAAATACATTTAGTTTAACTTGATACTAAAGTTGTACTAAAATAACAAAAAATGCATAAAATCGATCAGCATAGATATTGTTTGGGTTCACATACTTACATAGAGTAGATTTATATCTTTGTAAGCTACAGCATAACTTAAACATGAATCCCCTTCAAAATTATTGTTTTTTATGTTTGTCCAAATTTTTTGAAGATGCATCTGTTGCAATGAAAATTTTTTTTATGTATGTATGTAAGGTTTATTTTTTGTTTTTAATAGTTTATTTTTTGTTTTTCATTTACATTTAATTTTTAAAATGATTTTGTCTGATGTTATTTATGATCAACTTGATATTTATATGTAAGGTATTTATTTATTTATTCATTTATTTATTTTAGAAATGTGTATGTTTTAGTAAATTACATTTTTTATTTACTTTTTGTTTGTTTGTTTTATTTTATATATTTTTTTAAGTTTCTCTCTCTCTATATGTTTTTATTTATTTTTTTTAATTAATAAAAGAACGTAATAAAAATCTGTTGCAATTCTTTACATCAATAAAAGCATCTTTTTTTGTGAGAAATAGCCTTGTGTTCGTGGTCAGGAGGGGTTTGTATGAGGAACAGTGTGGCGTTGCATGTTTGGCCGTTGATGAAGCGTCTGTGTTTGCTCTCACAGACTGCAGAGCAGAAATGTGGCACATTTGCAGCATGCTGGGACTTTCTCTCCGCTCAGCTTGACAAGGAAATCCTCGACAAACCTCACTCTGTGTTTTGCCCATCCCTCAGGAGAAGCTCTCCAATTAGCGGCGTGCATTCTGTGCTTTACATGTGACAGGCGCCACTTACACGAGCAGACAGTGAGAGCCGCAAATCCGCGTCGCTAGCGTTTGCTTCCTCTGGCAGCTCATAACAGCACGACACATCTGTGCTTTCTGTGAAGAAGAGCAGGAGTGTGAGACCTTCATGACTCCAGAGGATGCTTGGACATCTGACCTGAGAAGAGACTTTAAAGGATCTTGAAGACATTTTGGAAAGTTTGAGTTCATGCAGTCTCTAATTAATTAGAGTTATTATATAAACTGTAACTGAAATTAAAACCTTAGAAAAGTACAAATAAATGTTAACTGAAATAAAATATTTATTTATTTTTCAGTTAATGGCCAGTGCAAAATTTCTCATTTTAATTTAGCTTTAACTTGTCATATCAAAATAATAAAACTGATAAAAGCTATATGTAAACTACTAAGAATGAAAAACACACAATGAAATTACTAAAACTTTACAATGAATTAACTGTTTAAATGTTAGTAAATTGTATTTGTTTTATTTTTATTTTACTTTTTATTTTATTTTATTATTCTTTTTTTATGCTTTAAACTTGATTCTCAAATTGTACTAAAATAACTACTACTGAAATAAGATATTAATAAAAAACTACTACTACTAAAAATGATCAAAACAATTACTTAATTGTACATTTTATTTTTTTGTTTAATTTTAATTTTTTATTTTATATTATATTTTATTTTATCATTTTTAAATTGATATTAAAATAGCTAAAAGCTACTAAAATTATAAAATCACAGCAAAATTACTAAAACGTCAACAAAAATTAATTGTTTACATTTTACTTTTTGTTTTATTTGTAATGTTTTAGGTTTTTTTAAATGTTGTATTTATTGTTTAATTTAATACAAAAAAATTTTAAAAAGTAAAACTGAAAAAAAAAACTATATATATATATATAAAACAAAAATTATAAAAATGCTAAAAATAGCCAAATGTTAAAAAGTGTTTACATTTTAGTAAATTGTATTTATTGTTTTATTGTTTAATTAATCAACAATACAACAAAATGAATAAATATTTATACATCTGTATATAATTATTGTTTATGTATATGTGTGCGTGTATGTAAACAAAAACTACTAAAATTTAGAAAAACAGCAAAATTACTAAAACTTCAACGAAAATTAAAATGGAAAATATAAAAATAAAAACTGATGTAAATAATGTAAATAAAAACTCTAATAGTAATGTCTGTGATTCTAAAGTAACACTGGTCTCTACGTCTGTGAGCTGTATGGGCGTTTAATGCAAAAATAATAAGGAGCCCAGAGAAATGCTGGCAGGACGTAATTCCCCTGCTCCATCCATATTAGTCAGAGCTGTGTTGACCAACTTTAATGGCTTCTTCTCTGGCTCGACAGATTGCTTGATGATGTTGCAGAATCCAAATGTCACCGGCGGAAACTCGCTCTCCTCCTCGTGCCTAACTGATTTCAAGAGCCACTAACTGTAATACTGTGAATATTACTGTTACATTTCATGCATATTTAGGTACAAATGTTTCCTATTTTGAGGATTTGATTTGGAAATGCAAAGCAGACGGCTGCGTTTCTGAGAGCCGGTCATGCTTTTAACTGCTTTTGCATTTAAATTTTTGGTATGGATTATTATTCATTAGTATTAATTTGTTATTTGTTGTTGTAAACAAGACTGTCAGTCAGTTTCAGCATGAATGTGTTTTGTAGTTATAATCAATAATCAATGTTTAGGATTGTACTCGCACTTTACAAATTTAATTTAAAATAAAAATATTGCAAATATTTTATGATCCTTGCATGCATGCATATGTTAGGTTTTATGTATTTTCATTTTTGTATTTCATTTTTAATGTTTTGAATTGTTATTTATTCATTATTATTGTTTTAATGCCAATATTTATGCAGTTAATTGATTATTACATTTATTTATTTTTTAATTATTTTATAATTTTTTTTAGTTGTTTTTGTTTGTTTGTTTGTATATATATATAAATATAGGTATGGAAAAAGATTTTAAAAAATAATTAAAAATAAGAATAAAATAAAATGTGCAGGACAGTATACTGTAGACTTAATAAATAATAAGATGAGCAGATGAGCTTTTAAATACATTTTTTATTAATGTATTTAAAAAAAATAGGCATGGCTATATTAGATGTTTTGAATGTAAACATTTAATCAGTTAATAGATTATTTACTATTTGAATTTACATGTATGCATTTGGCAGACGCTTTATACAAAGCTTTAATTTCATTTCATTCCATTTTATTTTGAGCAGTTGTATCTTCTTTCCAGCTGCTGCAGTGTTCAGTCCGGTGCTCTTCAGGGACTGTGCATCGGTCAAGGCCACTGTAATGTGATTGCGAGGGTCAGTGTGTTGGGAATGCCGATGTGTCTCTATAATCACATTGACCAGAAACACAAACTTCCAGGAATCTAATTATAGTGAACAAAACAGATGAACAGACACAATTACACAAACCCTTCTGCTGTGATCCTCTTTCTCCCTCCACTGAAGATTTCTGTTCAGTCAGTGGCACCTGAATAAAAAAAATATAAATAAATAATGATCAACTAATTGATTGATAGAACTTTATTTTAAGGCCAGTTCTCATTAACTAGCATGCATATTACTAGCTTATTGGCTGTTTATTAGTACTTATAAAGCACATATTAATGCCTTATTCTACATGAGCATATTTTAGATCCTTTAATCAGACTCCAAACCCAAACTAACAACTACCTTACTATTAATAAACAGCAAATTAGGAGGCAAAAGTCATAGTTAATAGCAAAAGCTGGACCTTAAAATAAAGTGTGGCCAATTGATTAAATGTTTACATTAAAAACTCAAAATGCATCTGCAGGCTATGCCTTTTTAGATAAATTAATAAAAATAAAGTAAAAAATAAAAATTAAGAAATAAAAACATGCATGCATACAAATATGACATAAATAGATGCATGTATAAATACTGTGGTAGTACCATAGTATCATAGTAACTGGCAGTTTATTAAGAAATCTTCCTGTTTTATTTTATATTTTATTTTATGCATGTTTTTATTTTATTTATTTAATTAATTAATTCTTGCAATGCAATACTACCAGTCTATTAAGAAATTCCTATTTTATTTTATTATTTTATTTTATCCGTCTGTCCATCCATGTTTGTTTGTTTGTTTGTTTGTTTATTATTTATTCAATTCTTGCTATGCAGTACAGCCAGTCTATTGAGAAATCTTCCCATTTTATTTTATTTTAATTTGTTATTCATCCATCATCCATGTTTGTTTGTTTGTTTGATTCATTCATTCGTTCATTCCTGCTATGCAGTGCTGTCAGTTTATTAAGAAATCTTCTTATTTTATTTTATTGTTTTGTTTTGTTTTGTTTTGTTTTGTTTTGTTTTGTTTTAATTTATTTATTGTGTGTTTGTTTGTTTTATGTTTTGTTTGATTGTATTTACCATCCATCCTTTTTTGTTTATATTTATTTATTTATTTATTTTCTATCAAAATATCCAGTTTATTAAGGAGTCTTTTGTTTTATGTTTTAGATTTTTGTTTGGTTTTATTTATCTATCCATCCATGTTTAGCTTTTATTTATTTATTTATTTTCATTTTCATTTTTTATTTTATTTATTTTATTTTCTATCAAAATATCCAGTTTATTAAGAAGTCTTACCGTTTTATTTTATTTAAAAAATTTTGTTTTGTTTTGTTTTGTTTTGTTTTGTTTTGTTTTGTTTTGTTTTGTTTTGTTTTGTTTTGTTTTGTTTTGTTTTGTTTTGTTTTGTTTTGTTTTGTTTTGTTTTGTTTTGTTTTGTTTTGTTTATTAAGAACTCTTCCCGTTTTGTTTTGTTTTGTTTTGTTTTAATTTATTTATTGTGTGTTTGTTTGTTTTATGTTTTGTTTGATTGTATTTACCATCCATCCTTTTTTGTTTATATTTATTTATTTATTTATTTTCTATCAAAATATCCAGTTTATTAAGGAGTCTTCAAATTTGGTTGTTTCATGTTTTGTTTTATGTTTTAGATTTTTGTTTGGTTTTATTTATCTATCCATCCATGTTTAGTTTTTATTTATTTATTTATTTATTTTCATTTTCATTTTTTATTTTATTTTCTATCAAAATATCCAGTTTATTAAGAAGTCTTACCGTTTTATTTTATTTTAAATTTTTTTTCATGTTTTGGCTTTTGTTTATCCATACATCCATGTTTATTTTTATTCATTTATTTTCATTTTTATTTTTTATATTTTTTAATCAAAATATGTAGTTTGTTAAGTAGTCTTCCAATTTTGTTTCAGTTTATTTATTTATTTATTTTTACTCATCCACCCATGTTTATTTTTGTTTTTATTTATTTATTTTCTATTGAAATATCAAAATGTTATCAATATCAAGATGCTTCAAACAAAACATGTTTTCTTGTGAATATTGTTTTAATTGGTGATCAATTATTTTTTTTATCCATGTGTGTTTGTTTGTTTTATTTTCTATTAAAATATCTGAATGTAATCAGAATCCAAATGTTTCAAACAAAACATTTTCTTGTGAATATTGTTCTAATTGGTGGTCAGTTAAAGTTTTTCTATCCCTGTTTATGTTTGTTTTCATTTATTTATATCTTTTTTAATTAATTTATTTTATTTTTATTTCATTTTTTTATTTTTCTTTATTTAATTTTCTATCGAAGTATTATCAATATCAAAATGTTTAAGCAAAACATGTTTGCTTGTGAATAATAATTTTAGTTGGTGATGCAATAATAGGTTTTTCCAGTGTTTTGAAAATTTCTTTTCATCCTTTTAGTCTAAAAAAAAAAAACTTTAAATTTCAAAAAACAGTTCCTCAATGATATCATCATCATCTTCATTATCATCCAGGAAGTGACATCATTCTGGAGGGAAAACAGCAGCATGGTCATCAGCAAATATGACATTTTGTTTATTTATTTACAGTGTATTATCAGTGAATCTGATGAATTCGTGGATGTTTGTGTCACTCTAAATCATTCATCCTGTTCGATCAAATGACACAAATCAGTTTGATCAGACACAGATGACGTCCTCATGTACGCTGTAACTGTTGAACCCTTTAATAGAACTAGTTTATTTCATTACAGCTTAATCAAATTGTATTTTTGAAATGAAGAGTTCAGCAGGTGCTGGTTAATGACGTGATTTGTGATTCACGCAGAAGCGTTGGGATCTGCAATCGTGAGACAGCGTGAATAGACTAACACGGGCTGATTACGAGCTTGACATGCCAATTTAGTTGTGCCGTCTAAATCTGGCATGTATTGTTCTTGGTTCGAATAGCAGGCAGTGATTTGCACGTCAGTGAAAAGTGTGCTACACGTGATTGTCTTCAGTCGTGATGTGCTGATCACGTCTGTGCGTTTAACCCAAACCAGCTCAAATACCCGTAACGAAAGAGCTTTATTACAGTCCTCATGAAATTAAAGTGCTTAATGGACTAACTTAAAGCTATGGTTGTTTAGCCAAAAATGAAAACGGGCTCTCCCTCAGGCCATCCGAGATGTAGATGAGTTTGTATCTTCATCCGATTTGGAGAAATGTAGCATTGCATCACTTGCTCAGCAATGGATGCTCTGCAGTGAATGGGTGCCGTCAGAATGATAGTCCAAACAGCTGATAAAAACATCACAATAATCCACAGCACTCCAGTCCATCAGTTAACATCTGGAGAAGACAAAAGCTGATACAAATTCATCAATGAAGATGTTTTTAACTAAAATATGAGTCCATAATCCATAATAACGTGTCCTCCAGTGAAAAAGTGTTCTGGTCTGAATCAGGAGAGAAATCTGCACAGATCAAGCAGCGTTTACAAGCCAAACCAGCTCTAAACAAATACTGTAGGTGGCTGGATTTTGATGTGAGAGACAACAGGAGATGGGCTCTTTTTTTTAATTTTTTTGTAGCTTTGTTGTTGTGCCAAGGATGAAGAAAGAACAGAGACACAGTGAGCCTGTATGCACTGTATGTACACAGATACGTTGTTTTCAGATCAAAGCTTAAAGTACGTTAACCGCGTACATGCGTTGCATACATTGTTTGTATGCAACGTATACACTCTTAAAAATAAAGGTGCTTCACGATGCCATAGAAGAACCTTTTTGTCTAAATGGTTCCATAAAGAACCTTCAACATCTGAAGAACCTTTCTGTTTCACAAAAGCTTCTTTGTGGCGAAAGAAGGTTCTTCAGATTATAAAAAGATAAGAAAGAGATGGTTCTTTAAAGAACCTTTGACTGAATGGTTCTTTGTGGAACCAAAAATGGTTCTTCTATGGCATCGCTTGAAGAACCTTTTGAAGCACCTTTATTTTTAAGAGTGTATGTGATGCTCTCCATAATGACGCTATAGGGTGACGCGGAGGAGACAAATTCTTGAATAAAGTTATTTTTGTTCTCTTTGCACAAAAAGTATTCTCGTAGCTTCGTATAATTACGGTTGTAACAGAGAAAACACCTACTTTATGATTAAAAAGGCTTGAGGTTGGATGTCTCTTCTCACCAAGGCTGCATTTATTTGATCAAAAATACAGTAAAAACAGTAAAATATTATGATTTAAAATAAGAGTTTTCTATGTGAATATCTGTTAAAGTATAATTTATTTCTGTGATCAAAGCTGAATTTTCAGCATCATTACTCCAGTCTTCAGTGTCACATCATCTTCAGAAATCTTGTAAAGTACACGCAGGTATGAATCATTACCTGCGTTCTGTAATTCATTTCCATAATTCATTCTACATCCTTAATTAATGCCTCTTTCTCAATTATTATGTAAATACATATGCATATCTCTTTATTTATACAGTTCTATATAGAGTAAATGATGCACAAATCTGTACATAAATCTACTGTTCCAGATTCATACACATTATTTATTGTTAGGTTTTACTATTTAAATGTTTTTTTTTTCTGTTCTCATGTCAAATGTGTATGTATGCATGTATGTATGTACCAGGAGCACCTTAAAAAACGACAACAAATTCCTCGTGTGTTTGCACACCTGGCGAATAAAGCTAATTCTGATTCTGATTCTGATTCTGAAATCATTCTAATATGCTGATTTGCTGCTCAAGACACATTTCTGATGATTATCCATGTTGAAAACAGTTGTGCTGCTGAATTTAATTTCGTGATACATTTTATTTTTAGCTTTTCCATGCCTGTCTGCTCTGCTTAATTTTTTTTTTTTCTCACTTGGTTTTCCACAGAAAACCATCTGGAAATACAAATTCTCCCAGCTGAAGGGTTCATCGGATGACGGCAAGACACGAGTGAAGCTCCTGTTCCAGAATTCAGAGAATAAACAGATCGAAATGAAGGTCAGAATGTTTACATGAGAATATTGGGATGAAATGTTAAGTCAACATTTATGCTGTAACATAGAATATTTTTTGGGTTTACAATATTACTTTGACTGTTTTGATGTCAGATTTATCATTCATTTGATAAAATAGGCTTTAACCAAAGCCTGACATATGAAATAATAGAATTTAATTTTTTTGTTTGTTTGTTGAGTGTATTTGATCCATCAGGCTTTTATGACTCATATAGTCTGATATAGTGAGAAAAAAACAGCTCAGTTTTATTTAGAAACTCAAAGTGAGCAAAAATATGCAATTTGATGCAGATGCTGATATTTATATGAACAAAGAGTGACAGATCAATGAGATCTTTCTAACAGTATAGCGGCTACTTACATAAAATAATCAAAATATCAGTGGTCACTCTATATCCCCAATAATATGTCTTCGTAAGATGAGATTGAAATGCTCCAAACATATAATGCAGTGATTGAGAGCTGAAGAAATAAAGGCTCCTCAGAAGATGTGAGATGTTCTGGAGGCTTGTGAAGATCATTCCTCCGCTGAGGAACAGTGAAAGTAAAGCTTCTGGAAACAAACGCTCCTCAAAAGATCCTGAGGATCAGATTTGAGACTCTAAAACATGATTGATGGAGAATCAAGTAAAGCTGAGCTGCTTCAGTCCAGTAAGTGTTCATCTGGAGATATTACTGACGTTATTCTGACCTTTACTTGATCAAAATCAGTTTAGAGCCAGTTTAATTTTCAAATGTAAGCGAGAAACATCTTTCTGGTTATTTCTTTTCTTCCAGGAGCTGGAGTTTGCCAATCTGACGGCTGTGCTTCATTGCATTCACTCGTTCATCGCTGCTAAAGTGGCCACGGTGGATCCCGTCTTTGTCAACAGTCAAAGTCTCACGCAGAAGTACATGTGCAGCAGCTAGAAACATCCGTGTGTGACGGACATGTACAGTCTCATCTGGTTCTCTGATTTTATGCACAATATATCTAGTTCTTGTTATTTTTGTACGAATCTTCTAAATTCAGAGCGACGTTTAAGGAGCACTTTGAGTTGATGATATTTTGACATGCTTTGAGTTATGATTTCTTTCTTACCTACTAACACGATCAATCATATGCTTACACTGATTATGTAGCAAAGCAAATGTTGACATACGGCATTATGAGTTGATGCATGAACTGCATTTGACAATTTACAGGGCAAAACGGGTGAAACTGAGACTTCCAGCTGTAAAATCAACCAAACTAGATGAATTTGTGTTCTTTTGCCCTTTTGTTTTCTATTCATCACCTCAAACCTCTTCATTTAGCACAAATAGTAATAACAAAATGATGGTTTTCTCCATTTGAATTAAAGTGTTAAACTGATTTGATACGTGTTATTATGAAGTAGTGGTTTCATTAACAGTAAATAGACAGTCTTGCCAGCTACTGTCCTCGAAAACTGACATTTTCTAAAAATCAAGGTCCCTGATCTACTCTTCTATTTAGTTTGATGTTATTCTAGTTCTTTTCTAAATAAAGGAATGATTAGTTCACTGCTGACGGAATACGCAGTTTTTCTTTTTTAATAAATCTGCAAAAATGTCAACAATTCTGTGTTTTTCTGTCAATATGGGGTGCTGTGTGTACATTAATGAGGAAAAAAAATTAACTTAAATTATTTTAGCAAATGGCTGCAATATAACAAAGAGTGAAAAATTTAAGCTACTTTTAAATAGTCTCCCAAATACATACTATTTTATTTAATTTAATTTTATTGTATTTATTTTTGCCAGGATCAAATCAATCTCAAAGAGTAACACATTTTATATATATATATATATATATAGTGATGTTAAAAGATGAATTGCTATTAATCGCATCCAAAATAAAAGTTTTTGTTTACATAATATGTGTGTCCTGTGTATATTTATTATGTATATATAAATGCACACACGTGAATGTATATATTTCAGAAAAATATGCTATGTTTATATATTAAATATATTTATATATAATATAAATTATATGAATATAAATATATACATGTAAATACATGTAAATATTTTCAAAATATATACTGTATTTGTGTGTATTTATATATACATAATAAACAGACACAGTACACTCATATATGTGTGTGTGTGTGTGTGTGAATTTTATGTAGTCCCCCAATTATTTATTTGTTTGTTAAAATAATTTAAAGGGAAGATAATATTAATATACCCTAAATTATATAATAAATCTGAATGTTTTATATTCCAAATGTTATATAGTCCCTCAATTACCTAATTTATTTATTTTTCACAGTGTGTTTTTTGCCAGGGTCAAATTGATCCCAAACAGAGTAGCATATCATTTGAAGGCAAAATAACAGGCTAATTTCAAAATGATTATTATTATTTTTACACATACAATCAATCTTCACAGTACATAAGGCATAATTACAATTATACCAGAAAACACTCTATGATGAATTATTGATTGTCGTCTTAATTTAATTTGCAGTTTAAAATCTGTGAATCATGAAATTAGTTCTTCTTATTGTTTATGTAGTGAATGCAGCCAGTATTACAACATAGTGGCATTGAAAAGTGTTTAAATGCTTTAAAATGTGTGAATGTCATTAGATGCAAATTATAAAGCAAGTGTCTGTAAACAAATGATGATGTCTCAGAAATCAGCAAAGTGTCTTGAAACTCGTTATGTAATGCACTCATATTGTGACGTCCAGGCCCATGTGAAGCGCTGGACTCGAGTGAATACTAACGCAGCGTCTCTGTGGTCTGCTGGGCTTCAGAGAGGCAGATCAACGCTGAATTAAACTCCAGGCGGAGAAAGAAACATTTGGAGTGAAAGTCTGGATTGATTCAGCCAGCAGTGCAGTATTGAGGGAGAAACACGTCATTGCTCAATTACTACTCCATCCAGGGCTCTTGAATCTCTGAAGAGTTTCAGGAGCCGAAGCCTTGCGTCACATGAGCGGGTGCTTTTGTTTCTGTCAAGTATCATTGATGCCAGTCTCTCTGAAGTGCAGGAACATCAGACCTGTGAGATGACAATATTTACACATCATTAAGGTGTTTTCTGGCCACTAATTAGTGCTGTTTACTAAGGCAAGCATAGTGTTGATGTTTCTCTCAAGATGCGGTCACATTGAGTCATTTCATTAGGAATCCGTGTGAGCGGAGCTTCCCCAATTTATTTGATCAAAATTATTACTAGGGACAATTTAGTAATGACTGATATTGGTAGTGACACGTCAGAGCATCGCTACTAAATTCTAAACCCTTGAAAATCATAACAAGTGATGTCCGACTTTGGAAACTGTACAGCAGATCTCTCCTTAAATATGAAGAGATCAAACAACAGATGAATGAGTTACTCCAAATTTCACAAAAAGCTTATGGACATAATTATAATATGTCAGACAAGTGAGTTGCTGTTTTTGTCTCTTCTGAGGAAGATTCATTCACTTGTTTGGCAATGTCAGATTTTTTAATGTTCATCTAATCTCATTTTGTAAGTGACTGTTCTTTCTGTGTTAAAGATGTTTTCTTTGGATTGTTTGACTACTCAAAAGAGACTATTGGAAAATATAACAAATAAGTTGTGTTCCCTGCTAAATTGCACATACATAAACACAAATCTGGCCTCTAAACATCTCTTTTCTTTATTCAGAGTTGATCTAGACGAGTAGGCATGGAAACTATCCACAGTTCTGTAAATCCTAGAGCAGTGAAAACGGCATCTCTATATCCATGTGTCCTCTTAAGATAACATGGTTTACTATAGTTAAACCATGGTAACCACAAATTAACCATGGCTAACCATGGTATTTGTCTTTATGAATGGTTTCAGATCTGATGTGGATCCTGTTTGTACTGGTGTCCCACAGGGCTCAGTCCTTGGTCCCCTGCTTTTTAGCATTTATATTTATCCTCTTGGTCAGCTATTAAGATTCCTTAACCTCAGCTACCACTTCTATGCTGATGATACTCAGATTTATATACATTCTCAACCTGGTCAATTTGTGCGCAATACGCGAAGTTCCGATCGGAGCACTTCGAAACAATGAATCATCTTGCGACACAATGGTTTAACTGATTCAGAGTTTCGAAAAGCTCAGTTTGACCCATCACTATACGTGCTTTTTAAAATCATTACAAGTGATGTCGAAATTCTAAAATGAATGATCTTTTGATCTGTTTTGCTAGTGAATCGCTTGAAAGTCACGAGTTTGAATCAATCTGAGCAGTTCCAGCATGAATTGTACTGTCCAGAGACAGTCATGGTGTGTTTAGAGGTTTACTGAGAACAACTGGAGCAAAATTGAAAAAGTTTTATTTCAGAACTAACACAGCATTCTTGTAATCTAAACAGCAAAAACACTTGCTCTTGGTGAACAAACACCACATAAATTACTCGCTCAATTGAGTCAGTTTGTGTTCCTTCGCTTTTCGTTCCTTATGTTTACACGACACTGTCAGTATACTACTTAATAATGGCTTAGCTCGCTAGTTTCATGACATTAACTGAAATAAGTGAAAAAAGTAAAATATCAAAATTTCCATTCATCCAACACAAATCTACGAACATGGTGAGGTAACCGGTTTTCTGCTAACTAATGCAACACTATTAATATTATAAGCTGTGCCTCAAAATACATGTTCATTGAGCTTAATGCACTACATTTGAAATAGTTTGTGTGTTTTATATGAAATCAGTTAAAAAAAATACCTAGCAACCACTCAAAACACCATAGCAACTGATGGCAACACCCTGGAATTGTGTAGGTGTAGGTGTTGCAGCACTTTCCTCAGACAATGTAATGTAAATGTAATCTAGTCACAGTGTTTTATATTTATGATATTGTTATAGGGCATTTGTGACATGAACTCTTATAAATGAATGATTTAAACTCTCTTTACATGCTTTTAGATGATTACTTGTGCAAAGACATCAGATCAAGTTCAATTAATCCCAACGAAGCCTTAAAATGCTTTGTTATCAATCTAGATTAATGAATTGATTTACTTTAATTATGGATCATTGTCCAGCCAAAGATCTGACTATTCAGATGAGTTATGCCAAAAGCATCAGGTCACTCCTCATCTACCGCAGACATCTAAAATAATTACTTGAGCGAACTGAGTTGTGTTTAAGACTTCACAGATGGACATTTCCCTGAAAATGAGATGATGTCAAGAAATAAAAGGGTGTCATTTATAGAAATATTCCAGGCAAAAATTTTAATATAGTTAGTAACACAATGGGTCTGTTTTAGGTGAACTATTCCATTAAGGTTGTGTGAATTGTCATGTTTGAAATCTGCTACGAGCAGATAATCATGATTTCAGAGGCCTGACAGATGCTTGACACAAGCTTGTGTTGTGTTTAAAGAGGGCCACTCGAACGCCACACTTCATGAAGCTGAAGCCTTGAAAATCAAGGGTTTTGTTGGAATCAGCAGAGTTTGGCTGTTCACAGTCAGTGAGCAAAACCCAGCAGAGACCAGAACACAGGGGAGAGTGAACACAGCCGACTGGGAAAATACAGACAAACGCCTTACGACACAACACCACCGAGACTAGAGGTATGAAATATAGCAGCAATATTGTGAAATATTTTTACAGTTTAAAATAAGTGTGAATATATTGTAAATGTAATTTGTTCCTGTGATGCAAAGCTGTATTTTCAGCATCATTACTCCAGTCTTCAGTGTCACATGATCTTCAGAAATCATTCTAATATGCTGATTTGCTGCTCAAGAAACATTTCTGATTATTATCAATGTTGAAAACAATTGCGCTACTTCATATTTTGGTGGAAACATGCAGTTTATTTTTCAGGAATGTCTAATGAATATAAAGTTCAACAGAACAGCATTTATTTGAAACAGGAACCTTTATAAAAACTCTTTACTGTCAAATTTGAACAATTTAATGTGTCCTTGATGAATAAAGGTATTAATTAAAGAGAACCTTTCTCAACCCAAACTGTTGAATGATAGTGTTTGCATGTGTATAAGTTATGCATTATTATTTTATTTAATAATGGTTTTGGATTAAATTTATTAGCTGTCAAGAATTTTCTGCATCATAGTTCACCCCAAAATCAACAGATAATGCATAAAAATTATTAAATAAAGTCAAATTAACATTATCCAACCATTACACAAATAAAGATCTTATATCTGTGATTTGAAATTGTAAATGTAGATGCTAATATTTGTTAAGCTAAATTTAATTGGTTTTTAAAAATCAGCTGATACCAATGCTGATATGCAAATAACATACAATGGCAGATTAGAAGTGCAGAATATTACTGAAATGTCATACTTTTGACTATTTCTCAAAATTCTTTTCATTTCCATTGGCTTTTAGGATGAGATATGAGAGATTTCTTCTCTGAAATCACAGTTGTTAAATACACAATTATAAATCACAGTATGTTCATTCCATAATGTGTGCAGTGGATCACATTAGTTCCATAAAGCACAGAATAAATAATGTTTAATTATCCTGCAATGAAAGTAAGTATCATGTCTGCGCTCAGA